CTGCGGGAGGGGGGCACCCGGTCGTGGACGCCGTCCGATGCGATGTCGCTGCGGCATACAATGTCGGTGCCGTTGCACGTGTTACGTTTGCCCCCTCGGTGGCTTCCTTTCGATGCACCATCTCGAGCCGGGGTCCCTGCACACCGCGATCGGGTCGGTGGTAGCCGGCGCCGGGGTGTCATTGCTGGAGCCTGGGTGGCTTCCAGCGGTGCGTAACTTGTCCGCTCCGTCCCGTGCGTCCGGGAGATTCTCCAATCCCAATCCCATGTTGATATATCTTGTGGTCAGATTTCTTGCAATGTCCTGCACGATTTCTTCCGCCTCCAACAGCTCACTTCCGAACTTCATGCTGGCAGGCGATGGTACTGGGTCTCGGCTTTTGATCTCGTGGATGGTGAAGGTGGCCTTCTTGCGAAGTTCCGTGCCCGTGTTGTACCTGTTTTTGTAGCGCACGAGGTGGGCCTGCTCAGGCGGCGTGACGTCGATCACCTCGTTGTTTTTTTTCAGGCGGCGGTCCTGGCAGCAGCGGTGGCTTAGGCTCGTCGCCTTCATAGGGAGGCATTGTGCTGACCACGAAGTCGCCTGTCGCCTCGCTTTTGCATCTGGAGGTCTCCTTGTTGTCGCTGGTGAGGTGTCTCTTCCATGCCGATCTCAACTTCCAGTCCCCTGGGCAATTCCACGTTGTCTCACGTGTCTGCGGGATGTGGTCGTACGCCCGTGCTGTGTTGTCGTCAGAGTAGGCACTCCATGGGTCTGGCAGCTTCTCGACGTGTGATGGCAACGGGGGAACCACTGGGATACGGGCGCAGGGGGTGATCCTCGGCGCCATGTCGATCGGCTGCTGATCACCGAGCGCGTTCCACTGCTCGCAAAATGCCTACTCGCAAACTTCCGAAACAGCGCACCTCTGCTTCGGTGCTTCGGTGTAAGCCATCGTCGACCCCCTGCGGCGGATCCAGGCCATTTGAGAGCAGTTACTTGGCGAGTAGTGGAGCGCGCTCGTCTAGCTGACCGGCCGCTGGACGTGTCGTCCAGCGTGGCGCAGCGCCGGGGGTCGGCTTGGCGAGGGGTGCAGTGGTTAGGGGGCCACATGCGAACCCTGCTCCACGATTTCTGAGGGGGAGGGTGGGGTTCACTTCCCCTCAGAAATCGTGGGGGGGAGGGGTAGGGTTCGCATGTGGCCTCCTAAGGGGTGCCGTGGTGGTGGTCCCGGTCTTCCGGCGGCGGGTGGCGGAGGAGGAGGAGGAGGAGGAGGAGGAGGAGGAGGAGGAGGAGGAGGGGATGGAGGAGGCCGGAGGAAGGAGAGGAGGAGGAGGAGGAGGAGAGGGGCCGACTGATTGCTATGTGGGGCGCAGGCTGTAGAAGCCAGGCATCTGCGTGAGGCCTGCTCGGTTGCGATTCTCGTCGTGCTCGAGGTCCTGGTCGAGCGCACAGGCTTGTCGCAGCTCCTGCAGCTGCCTGTCCACTTCTGTATTGTGCTCTTTCTCGTCCTCATCGTCCTCCTCCTCCTCCTCGTCTTTGCCCTCCTTGTCCTTCTTCTCCTCCTTGTCCTCCTCGTCGTCCAACTCCTTCTCCTCTTCCTCCTCCTCATCATCATCATCAGCATCAGCATCAGCATCATCATCGTCAGCAGCATCATCATCAGCATCAGCATCAGCATCAGCATCATCATCGTCAGCAGCATCATCATCATCATCATCATCATCAGCATCAGCATCAGCATCAGCATCATTATCCTTATCCTTTTCCTTGTCCCTGCCCTCTTCCTGCAGAGTCTGGCGAGTGGAGACAGCGGCAGTCTGTCTTCTCGGGGCCGGGCCTCGTCGCCACGGCCGGGCGCATGGCTGGGCACGGCTCGGAAAACTGGCGCGCTTGGACCCCGGGAGGGGTTCGGCATCGCTCGGACGTGTGCATTGTTCCTTCGGCGAGGACCATCGAGGAGCAACCTTGATCATGTGGCGAAAAAAACACGCACGAAACCGACAAAACGCACAGGGACTGGACGTCCGAGCGATGGCCAGGGGGCCCAGGGACAGATTTTTCATGGCACCCCGCCCGTACCAGGCGACAGGGTAGGGGACCGGAAAACATCGGTGGCCGAAGGGGTGCCCGAAGTTGTGAGACGTCGCGTCACCGAAGCTGTGGCCGAAATTGTAAAGCGTCTTGGTTTCGAATCAATTTGTTCGGTCACACTCGGACGCGGTCAGAAGATCGGGCGCCAGTTTCGCTCACACTCCAGATATTTTCGGGCACAGTTACGGTCACGCCGCCTCCCTGATAGAGACGAGGCTGCATGAGATTTTGAGCGGCCGTTGTCTCAACTCGCACTGCTCCGAGTTGCGCGGCAGGAGTCTGGGTGCTCTGCGCGCGCTTCGTGCTCGTAGTTCAAGTCGGCGGCGAGCGAGGGGGGAAGTGAGAAAGAGAAGGTCTTCTCAGAAGGTTCGGAAGTCCCCCGACCTTCTGAGAAGATTTCTAAGCCTGCCCCGAAGGTAAGAAAGCACTTCTCAGAAGGCGCGAGGGCTTCTCAGAAGTCCCGCCGCCTTCTGAGGAGGCCTTCTCCTTCGCTCGCTCGCCGCCGATCAGGAGGAGGAGGAGGAGGAGGAGGAGGAGGAGTTGGAGCCTCCGCCCGACCGCCGCCAGTCGTTTTATCAAGGGCCCCGGGCGCCTCGCGCGCCGCATGGCCCGCCCTCGGAGCGCATGCGGGGGGCAGCAAGCCGGGGACCCTGACCAGATCCTCCTCGCGCCCGCCCACCCTCCCTCTTCCTCCTCCTCCTCCTCCTTCGCCCCCTCCTCCTCCTCTTCCTCCCTTTCTCCCTTCCCTTTCCTCCTCCTCTCTCCTCCTCCTCCTCCTCCTCCTCCTAACTCTCCTCCCTCCTTCCTCTCCCTCCTCCCTCCCTTTCCTCCTCCTCCTCCTCCCCCTTCCTCCTCCTCCTCCTCCTCCTCCTCCTCCTCCTCCTCCTCCTCCTCCTCCTCCTCCTCCTCAAGCCGTCCTCCCTCCTCCCTTCCTCGGAGGAGGGCGGAGGATAGAGGAGGCCTTCTCCCAGCCAGTATCCTGCTCCCTTCCCTCGCCCCCTCTCCGCCCTCTCCGCGCCCCCCCCTCCTCCATCACTCCCCCCCTCCTCCTGCCTCCTCCCCCCAGGATAACCTAACCTTGCCGGTCGTGCAGGTCTGGGTTGGTGACGCGCGGGCACATGCAGCGCTGCCCACAGCGCGAAGGTTAGGTTATCGGCGGGCCCCCTCCTCCTCCCCCCCAAGGATAATCCGGGGTATCGCCGATACACTGTTTTCAAGATGTCGCGGGATCTCGTCCATGCCGACCTTGGTCATGGTCCATGTCGGCCGCCGCCGATTCGCGAGGACGGTGCACGAAGCGACGCTGACCAGGATCGGCGCCGATCAAGATCGGCACGACGTCTCCGCGCGCACTCGGGCTCATGGTCCCCTGTTTCTGCCCCTCCAGCATGGCCTCGCTAGGGGACACCAGTGATGCGCCAGACCCGGTTTGTGACGATCTGGCTCGCCAGCTGGAGGACCGCCCTTGCTCCTCCGTGCTCCTCCTGCCGGGAGGGAGGGCGGAGGGAGGCGGGGAGGGCGGGGGAGGGAGGGCGCGGGCGAGGTGGAGTTAGGAGGAGGAGGAAGAGCCGGAGGAGGAGGAGGAGGAGGAGGAGGAGAAGGAGGAGCAGAGGAGGAGGAGGAGGAGGAGGAGGGGCAGAGGAGAGGAGGAGGAGGAGCAGGAGGAGGAGGAGGAGAGGAGAGGAGGGGGATTCAGGTGGAGGACGCAGGGTAGGAGGGGGGGGACGCCCCCCGACCCTCGAGATTGTCAGGGGGCCTTGTGCCCCCGTTCAACTTCAAAACCCTTATCCGAAACTCTCTCCCTACCCTTCAGCCATCCTGCGCTGACGCCGGCGGCTTTGGTATACCGCGAGGGCAGCGGTATTCCGTACCTTTTCCTCTCCTGCTCATCATCCTCCTCCTCATCCTCATCCTCTCCCATCCATCTCCTTCCTCCTCCTCCTCCTCCTCCTCCTCCTCCGCATCCATCTCCTCCTCATCCTCATCCTCCCTCCATCTCTCTCTCCATCCCCGCTCATCTTCATTCTCATCCCCTCATCATCCATCTCCTCCTCCTTCGCATCCTCCTCCTCTCCTCCTCCTCCTCCTCCTCCCATCATCATCATCATCCTCATCATCATCATCATCATCATCATCATCATCACTCATCATGCATCATCATCATCATCAGCATCATCATCATCATAGAGAAATCCCAGACAATCCTCATCCTCATCCTCATCCTCATCCATCTCTCCACCTTCCTCATCCCCTCCCTCCTCCTCCTCCTCCTCCTCATCCGTCGCCTCCTCTTCCTCTTCTCATCCTCACCACCATCCATCTCCCCTCCTCATCCTCCTCCTCCTCCTCCTCCTCCTCCTCCTCCCTCCTCTCCTCACGCGCTTCCTCCTCCTTCGCCTCCGCCTCCGCCTCCTCCTCCTCCTCCTCTCTTCCTCCTCCTCCTCCTCCTCCTCCTCCTCCTCCTCCTCCTCCTCCCCCTCCTCCGCTTCCTCAGCCTCCTCCTCCTCCTGCCAGGAGTCAAAGGAGTGCTCGGGTTCTCTTGCCAGGAGTCGAAGGAGGGAAGACCACCCAGACCCGTTGTTTGGAGTTTACCTAAAGGCCCTGGGCGTTTACGAAACAGCCCGCCCCTCTTCGATCCCTTCCTTCTGGGGGCGTCCACGAAGCGGCTTCGCTCGTCGGGGTGACTGCTACGGGGGTGGATCTTCGGCCCTCTGAGGAGGGCGGCACGGGATGCTGTCTCTCCTTTCCTCTCTCTCCCTCTCTCGTGTGCACTTTGGGATCCTGCTTGTTAGCTATAGCTTTGGACGGCGCGCGGCCCTTCCGCTTGCGCTCGCGAACAGAAAGGGAGGGCGGCACGGCAGCGTCCCGTCTCCCGCGTCGGCCGGGGCCCCCGTCGGTCCGAGCGTCCCCGCCGGCCGGGCCTCCAGGACGGCCAGATCGGCACGGCCCGGTTCTACACCGTGAAGCCCAGCGAGCTGAAGGTGCACAAATTGCTCGGCAGCGGGGCGCAGGCGCTCGCTGCCCCGCGTCGCTCGTCCCTCCTCCTCTCCTCCTCCTCCTCCTCCTCCTCCTCCTCCTCCTCCTCCTCCTCATCCTCATCGTCATCGTCATCGTCATCATCATCACATCATCATCAGCATCACCATCGTCATGGTCATCATGGTCATTATCATCACCATCATCATGGTCATCATAGCCATCGTCATCACCATCATCATCAAATCATCATCATCACCGTTACCATCATCACCATCATCATGATCATCATGGTCATCGTCATCATCATCATCCTCATTGTCAGTATCATGATGATCATCATCATCATGATCATCATCATCAGCAGCATCAGCAGCATCATCATCACCATCAACACCACCACCACCTGGAGCAGAAGCATCATCATAAACATCATCATTAGCGACAGCAGCATTACCACCATTAGCAGCATGATCATTATCCTCGCCGTGAAGGGGAGGGGCCCTCAGGGAAAGGGGCACTGCTTGTCGCTTTCGCCGTTGACGATATATTGTTTCAAGCAGAACGCTTGATGAGCGCTATATGTGTTGTGTTGCCCCAGCTGCCACTTCTCTCTTTCATGCGCGTCATGTTGCCGTAGTGTCTCACGCCATCCGCCTCCGCTTGCGGAGCAAGTTACCTACAGTTACCTTCATGGGCTCCTGGACGGGAGTACCCCCCATTCCGTAAAAAAGCGGGGGAGGTCTGATTCGAGGGGGGGTGTCTGATTTGAGCCGTCTTGGAGGGTTCCAGGGGGGGACGACCCAGAATCGTTCGATGTGGAACGATTTGGACGTTTCAGAAATGGCCGATCGTTCGAGGTTGGACGATCCCCGCTGTGTCCGAAACCAACGCCGGAGTCGGCATGACACGAACTGACGTGCACGGCGTACCCCTCGGTGCCAGTCAGGGGGGCGCCATGGCCCCAGGGCCAACAGAAACGGACCCGGGGCGAGCAAATCTTCCTTTTCCTCCTTTTCCTTCTCTCTCCTACTTCTCCTCCTCCTCCTTCTCCCTCTTCCTCCTCCTCCTTCTCCTTTTCCCTCCTCCTCCTCTTCCTCCTCCTCCTCCTTCTCCCTCTTCCTCCTCCTCCTCTTCCTCCTCCTCCTCTCCTCTTCCTCTCCTCCTCTCCTCCTCCTCCCTCCTCCTCCTCCTCCTCCTCCTCCTCCTCCTCCTCCGTCGGGGGGCCAATTTTGAGTTGATTCTCCTTCTGACCGATTCTCTGGGATCCCAGGCAGTTTGGACTTCCTGGCCGCCTCCAGGGTGGGGCCATCTTGGGGAGCGCCGATCAAGAGGAAGGGTGGCCTAAATTTCCGTCCCCCAGAGGAACGCGCAACATCGCCTCTTGGGGCGCTCTTGGGCGCTCCTGGGGCCGTTTTGGGGGGTTACTTTGGCCCGTCCGTCGTGGTGGTCTCTTGGATCATTGAGAGAGGGAGAGAGAGAGAGAGAGTGAGCGGAACAAAAACAAGAGAGAGAGAGAGAGAGAGAAACATACATAGAGAGAGGGAGAGAGAAAAAGAGAGAGGGAGAGATATAGAAGCAAAACACAAAAAGAACAAGGCGGAGGGTGGGGGGCGGAGGAGGAGGAGGCGGACGGACGAGCCAGAGAATCGAGGGGGAAGGAGGAAGTTGAGCGGAAGCTGAGGTGAAGGAGGAGGAGGAGGAGGTGGTTGAAGTTAAGGAGACAGAGGAGGAGGAGTAGAAGGATGAGGATGAGGAGGAGGAGGAGGTGGAGGTGGATGAAGTGGAATTAAGAACGGGAGGAAGAGGAAGAGGAGGGGGTGGGTGGACGAGCAGGCGGATGAAGGCGAGGAGGAGTCGGAGGATGACAGGAGGAGGAGGAGGAGGTGGGAGAGGACCGGAGGAGGAGAGGAAGAGGAGGAGGGGGTGGGTGGACGAGCAGGCGGATGAAGGCGAGGAGGAGTCGGAGGAGGAGGTGGGAGAGGACCGGAGGAGGAAGAGGAGGAACAGGAGGAGGAAGTTGAGGTTGAGGAGGGGCAGGACGAGGAATTCGAGGTTGAGGAGGAGCAGGACGAGGAGGTTGAGGTTAAGGAGGAGGAGGAGGAGGAGGAGGACGAGGAGGTCGAGGAGGAGGACGAAGAGTTGGTTGAGGTTAAGGAGGTGGAGGACGGCGGAGGAGGAGATTGAGGAGGGGCAGGACGAGGAATTCGAGGTTGAGGAGGAGCAGGACGAGGAGGTTGAGGTTAATGAGAAGGAGGAGGACGACGAGGAGGACGAGGAGGAGGAGGAGGAGGAGGAGGTTAAGGATGAGGACGAAGAGTAGGTTGAGGTTAAGAAGGAGGAGGACGGAGGAGGAGGAGGAGGAGGAGGAGCAGGACGAGGAGGTGGAGGTGACATAGGAGGGTCGGCCACCGCGGGAGTTGGAGCAGCACGCCGCGCCCTCCCCGACGT